TCCTGCTATCCTGGCAGCCTGAGAGTCGCAGTGACCCTCGGGAAGAGGGGTGCAGGGCCCTGAATCCCCCACACTCCGCGACACCAGTGCTTATTGCCCTCGACCCGACTGTTGAGTAAGCCCGGAGTTAATTACATCACACGCCTTTTATCTAAAGTGAAGATGTAAATACCCACATTCGCTACAACGCCTCTCAAACTCGCCTTGGAGAATATGAAGGCCCGTAGAATGAATATGAATAGCGATCTACTGAATATAACTAAACCCGCCCCGTTTACAGCATTAAACAGCTTCTACAGCCGGTTTTCCTTTGACGATACATTTCTTTGCAGTAATTGTAGCCACAAGTTTCCTTAATCGGCAGTTCCCAGAGGAGGGAGGAAGGGCCATGACCCCCGAGCACATTTATGGAGCTGGGAAAGGAAGGGGGGGTCTTCCCCCGTCTTCACACAAAGGTTGTCTTCAGACAACCACCTTCTTCATGCAGCTGCAACGCTTATCTATCCTTAACACACAGAAGGGGAGGGGAAAAGGTGGCAACTTTATCAAGCGGTGCCTGCCTTTCCTTTAGTCCCTATTACCATGTTAGTGGTTACCCAAGTCTTTACTTAACTCTGGCATACCCCCCACACAACCCCATCACCACCGTGAACTCCTGGCTCCCGGGCTCACCAGCCGATCTCACCGGGGCTCAGCGCTCGAGGGCACCCCAAAAAAAGCCTCGCGCCCTCTTCAGGCTGCTTCCCATCCCGAGAGCACCCTCCCTTCCCCCGGCTCCGCTGGTCCCCTGGAGCTCACACCAAAAACGTTGCCGCCCGGAGCCAGCTCCGGACTAAACTCGCCGCAGGCTGACGAACAAGCGATTTCCAGTCACCGTCGAAATCCGGCGCGGGACAGATTTCTAGCGATCCGGGCCCTCGACCACCTCCTTCAGGGCGGCCACGGTGCGGGGTGGGATCTCCGCCTTCCTTCAGCGTCTCCGACCCGGGCGAGTTCAAACAGCAACAAGAGAACTCTGCCCTATTGAGCCAGGTACGCCAGCCTGCTGCACCCAGACCAAGGTCTTTCTAATCCGTACCCACAAAGCTGCAGACTTTAACCAAAAACTGCTCAGCGGGTCACCTGTCTCCAGCACCCAGACACCCAGTTCCCAATGGGATCCAAACCCCAAGTCAATCTGTTTGACACTGTATAAAGCTTATACAGGGGAAACTCATAAAATTGTTCACCCTCTATAGCACTGATCGAGATGCACAGCTGTTTGCTCCCCCAGGTATTCATCACTTTGGGTTTATTAATAAACAAAAATGATTTTATTAAGTATAAAAGGGAGGATTTAAGTGGTTTCAAGTAATAACAGACACAAAGTAAGTTACCAAGCAGAATAAAACAAAACACGCAAGTCTGAGCCTAATCCATTAAGAAACTGAATACAGGTAAATCTCACCCTCAGAGATGTTCCAATCAGCTTCTTTCACAGACTAGACTCTGTCCTAGTCTGGGCCCATCCTTTCCCCGGTACCGTCCTTGTTCCAGCTCAGGTGGTAACTTGGGGATTTCTCATGACTCCAGCCCCCTTTGTTCTGTTTCCCTCTTATATAGCTTCGACACAAGGCATGAATCTTTTTTCTCTTTGGTCCCCCCTCCTTCTAAATGGAAAAGCCCCAGGTGACATGGTCACATGTCCTGTGAGACCCCCCCACCAGCCTCCATTCTTCCCGGCCTGACCCACAAGAACACAGGAAGGCTTACAAGCAAACAGAGTCATTTACAACCAATTGTCCTGGTCCATGGAAGCCATCACAATCCTCAGCCCCCATTAATGGCCCACACTTTGCATAGTTACAATAGGGCCTCAGAGTAATACTTCATATTTCTAGCTTCAGATACAGACTGATACATGCATACTGTCACGGACTCGTCACACATACAAATCGGATGATCACACTCAGTAGATCACAGGATTTGTAAGGATACCTTACAAGGGACCTTTTGCATAAAGCAGATTCCAGTTACGTTATATTCACACTCCTTCGCCTATTTTCACAAAGCGTATGGAGCGCAGCGTCACAGTGGGGTGACTCCCTCGAGAGCAGAGGTGGGCAAACTACAGCCCGCAGGCCACATCCAGCCTGCGGGACCGTCCTTCCCGGCCCTTGAGCTCCTGGCTGGGGAGGCTCATCCCCGGCCCCTCACCTGCTGTCTCCACTCCCCACCGCCACGCTGCCGTGCGGGCAGCGACCTCCTGCCGCTCTAAGCGGCATAATAAGGGGGCAGCGGTGGTGTGCGTCCGGCGGCGAGGGGGGTTGGGTAGGGGGTCCCGGGGGGCAGTCAGGGGACAGGGAATGGTTGGATGGGGCAGAGGTTCTCGGGCGGGGAACAGGGGTGGGGGTTGGATAGGGTATGGGAGTCCCAGGGGGCCTGTCAGGGGGTAGCAGGGTGGAGAGGGGTTGGGGCAGTCTGGGGACACGGAGAAGGGGGGGATTGGATTGGGGGTGGGGTCCCGGGGGGGTGGTTTGGGGTGGGGATCCTGGGAGGGGGCAGTCAGGGGACAGGGAGTTGGATAGGGGGTGGGGTCCAGGGGGGGCAGTTTGGAGCACGGGTCCTGGGAGGGGGCAGTCAGGGGACAGGGAAGGCGGGGTTGGATAGGTGTGGGAGTCCCGGGGGCCTGTCAGGGGGCGCGGGTGTGGATAGGGGTCAGGGCAGTCAGGGGAGAAGGAGCAGAGGGGTTGGATAGGTGCTGGAGTCCCAGGGGGGGCACTTAGGGGACAAGGAGCAGGGGTGCTGGATAGGTGGTGGGTTAGCATTGGACACCACACAATCATTTTACAACCATGAACATGGGGACCTGGGTGTTCCCCCGAGGTACAGAGCATCACACTCACCCAGCCACTCCCCTATGGCCCCATTCCCTGCCCCCCGGAACCAGCCAGTCCCCGCCCTGGGGCCGGGGTGGGAGCCAGTGCCCCCTAGAAGGGACAAGTCCCTGCCCCCTTCCCTGCGCCTCTAAGAGGGGAGAGGCCCCATCCCATTGCACTGTTGCTCCTCGTACAATCCCTTCCACACCTCCTCCACCCTGCCCAGCGACACCCCGTGCACCACGAAGGCCTCCGCGTACAGACACTGCTCGTCCTTCATGCCAAAGACCCGGAATCGGTCATCGTGCCGGTACCGCAGCCCGGCAGCCAGCACCAGGAAGCCGAAGTAGACGTCGTCCAGCGGGAAGACGGGGATGCGCTCGGAGGCCACGGCCAGGGCCGGGACACTGGCCCTGGGCATGATGAACCCGCCCCCGGAGGGGAAGAAGGGGTATTTGTCCTGGGGGAACAGGGCGGGGGAGACGTTATATTTCCCCCCTCTCATCACGACTGCATGGCGCTGGATGTTGCCGTGGATGACGTGGGAGGCGTTGGGCGTCTGGCTCAGGTAGGCCACCATAGCGGGGGGGTTCACAAACTCGTCATCGTCCCCTGGAGGAGGGAAAAGATGCTGGGGAGGGTGCAGCTGGGGGCCAGATGGCCTCGCCAGAGCCAGGGAGAGAACCCAGGAGTCCTGGCTCCCAGCCCCCCCTGCTCTCGCCCACCAGCCCCCACTCCCCTCCCAGAGCCAGGGAGAGAACCCAGGAGTCCTGGCTCCCAACCCCCCCTGCTCTAACCCACCAGCCCCCACTCCCCTTCCGGAGTTGGGGAGAGAACCCAGGCGTCCGGGCTCACCTTTGAAGATGAAATCCGCCTGCCCGCAGTGCGCCCCCACCCAGTGCAGGAAGCAGCGCTCCTTGAGCGACAGGTTGTGGTGACTCTCGGTGAAATTCCACAGCACCACGTCCCCAAACTCCCCGCTCTCCCACTCCAGCAGGGCCATGTCCCGGGGGTCGGGGGACACCCCCACGAGGAAGACGGGTCGGACCCGGTAGCCCCCCAGGACCCTGGGCTGGGCCCACGTGCGGCGGGCGGTGGCCCGTCTGGCGCTGGACGCTGGGTGGGATTTCACGGCCAGGAGCAGCAGGGGCGGCCCTGGAGGCCCGGTGCAAACCCCGTCCCCTGGGATCCGCTCCTGGCACTGGTAGCTCTGCAGCTGGGGGAACTCGGCCCGGAAGGCGGCGAAATCCAAGCGGAAGGTGAAGGTCCCGTCGCTCAGCTCCACAGGGCCGGGCCTGGGGTCAGGGGTGCCCTGCGGGGGCTGCCTCAGTTGGATCCTCCTGGGGTGAAGCAGCCAAAAACCTCCGCTGATCAGCAGGACCAAGAGCGGGATCCAAATCAAGGCCGGGATCCGAATCAAGGCCGGGATCCGAATCAAGGCCAGGATCCGAATCAAGGCCGGGATCCGAATCAAGGCCAGGATCCGAATCCCAAACCGAATCTGGATCCCAGCATCGCAGGGCATCATCTCCGCTCCCCTCAGGGCTCGACTGAAAGTGAAACCAAAAAAAACTAGCCCACAGTACAAACACTGCGGAAGGGCTGAATATAGAACCCAGGCGTCCTGGCTCCCAGCCCCCCCATTCTAACCTACCAGCCCCCACTTCCCTCCCAGAGCC